AGGAGATCGGGCTGAAACTATAGCTACAAGCTATCCAAGGATGGTACTATAGAATGTCACCTCAAGGTAGGCCTAGTGGCGTCACCTCTTGGTTAGGCCGGAAACTTATCAATCCACCCTCGTATGTAGGTAGATAAAATCGGAAGGTACTTTTGTACGTAGTTCCATAAATACCTATCGTTATTTTAAAACATATTAGAACATTGAAGGATTCTGGGAGAGGTTCAACCTTAAATTTAAACTTTTGAATAAATCATTTAAATTGGGTGAATCAAAAGAACCTTCTCGATGCAGTAATTAATGTCGTAATAAGATATTCGAACAAGCACTTGAATTTTACAACATAATTAATCTGAACTTGAATTGATGAAGTTTTTAGATATTGTAACTCCATTTTAATGTAGAAAATAAAAACACAAACACAAGTTACAAAGATGTTTATTGTACCACAATGTACATTTCGCCACACAGTGGCTTCTTCAGGTGGATGAAGTAATACTCTTAAAATTAATTACACAACCCTTATATAATTAATTATTGTAGTGGGGTCTAAACTAATACTAACACTAAAAGCTACTAAACATTTAAAAGTGGGGAAAAATTTATATCTATTTGATCATTAATAATTAATCCTAATTTATTTAATTTATTAATTTCTAGACTTTCTAATGAGTCTAATTTAAGTCTTTTATTTTCAAGATGTAAAGTTTTGTAATTGTTGTCAAAACTGATTATTATTTTTCAAATTTATCAAAGCTTTTTTGTGTTCTTTAAAGCGTTCTTTAAAACTTCCACCTGTCTGTCCTATATATGATTTGTCGCAAGTACCACAATTAAGTTTATACGTTCCTGAATTGTTATCTTTGTTTGTAATGTCTTTATTGTTTTTTATATATTTTCCTAGCTTACTGTTTTGAATGAAATTATTGAGTTAGTAAATTTAGATAAATGACTTCCTATTTTTATTGAAAAATTACATAGGTAAGTAAGAGAATTATAACAAGAATTTTTATTAGGCACATGAGGGTATACTAAATTTAAAGTTTATCTGTTTAGTATTTTATTGAGTAAGTTGGTTACAAGTGAAGTGTTGTACCCATTGTTTTTAGCGATAACGTAAATTTTATTTAATTCTTTATTGTAATCCTCTGTTGTTATTGGTACCGTGATCAATCTCTGAAGGGTAAAATGAAAAAAGGCTAATTTATCAGGTAGTGAGTAAAATGATTTGGAATGAATAATGGTATCCATGTGAGAATTTTTGTGATAGATAGCAAATAAATGTTTATTGTTTTTATTTGTTATAGTTAAGTCCACACGATAATAACAATAGTTTTGACGACAATTACAAAATTTTACATTTTGAAAATAAAGGACTTAAATTAAACCTATCAGAAAGTCTAGAGATCAATAGATTAAATAGATTAGGATTACTTATTAATGATCAAATAGATATAAATTTTTCCCCACTTTTAAATGTTTAGTAGTTTTTGGTGTTAGTTTTAGTTTAGCCCCCACTACAATAATTAAGTATATAAGGGTTACATAAATACGTTTAAGAGTGTTACTTCTTCCACCTGAAGAAGCCACTGTGTGGCGAAATGTACATTGTGATACAATAAACATCTTTGTAACTTGTGTTTGTGTTTTTATTTTCTACATAAATAATCTGTACAAATTATCGTTAAAATTGTTCATTGTTGCAGAATCTAGGTAGGCATCGTAAAACACAGATTTTTTTATCCTCAAAATAGTAAGTTTTCCCACTCGATGTCTATATACACCTATCGGTTAATCTTTTCTAACTTTAACTAAATTCTTTATATTTTGAAAAATTATTGCGATAAATAGCATATAGATACTAAACCGTTAATCACAATTTACATTTTCTTGTAATATACAACAAACAGCATGGTCATGTGTTTAAATATTATTATAGTCTACAATACCAATTCAAAACATAATATTGAAAATTATTGTGAGATAAAAACAAGAAACTATAAGTGTAACTCTCTAGTTATAAAGGCCCATACAACTACCGTCCCATTATATGTTTTTATCATCTTTTGTACAATAGTTTATACATAAACTGGTGATGATTAAATAAATAACGTACTTTCTTTCTTTCTATAATTCTTTAGCTAAATAATTAATTTTCCAAAATTTTAATTTTGCAAACTGGTACCTACTTATATGGTTTTATAAGTGAGGTGAACAAGGGTGTTGTCAAAATATTAAACTTGAATAGTTTTTTGAATATTTTGGCTTGGTTTCAGTAGAAGAAATATTTACAAAAAAATGACGTATTTAACAATTAAGAGAAAAAAAAATCGATTGCTTATTATTCGTAAACTTAACCGATCTTTCCAATACATAATAAGCAACAATTCCTGAAAATTTGTAGCTTATATGTGCTTTTGTTCCCGAGATATTTAATGTAAAAGCAAAATCATTTTTACGATTTTGACACGATTTGTTAATAAACAGAAGCACTTAACGACTTCAAATCAGCGCCATTTTTTTGGTAATTATATAGGGAATAAAAACCATGTAGAAATGACGAAAAACAGACAAAATGATCATTTTCTACGCAAAAAGAGCTTCGTTGACTGAGCTAAACATGTGATCTACCAACAAATTTGTGCACCTCCTAAAACGATTTTAGAGTTATACATGTCTTGAATGGTAGATCTTATGTTTAGAGTTTTGGAAGAGAAGGTACCCAAAACTTTACTTCAAGTGTATAATTATTAAAAGTTTTGATACAAAACCCAAAAATTCTTTTCTTTATAAATAATAGGCTGTCATAAGTTTAAAAGCCGAACAAATAATTTTGTAGTAGCATAGCAATTGAATAATAAGGCATGTACAATTGCAGGAGCCCCCGGTTTGTGGTAAACTGGGTAGGTAACTTTAAAATGCTGAGCAAGTAAACATTAAGGATTTCGTTCGTTTTAAAAACTTACCATTGTACCTTCCTTAAGGGACTCCAATCCAATTTGCCAGGAACTCCACATTATTATGTTCTTGCACCACCGATTTTAAAGGGCAAATATTTTAAGTTACCGTGTAACCGGAAATTTCAATACCATAGATACATCGAGAAAGAATAGATTCTCGTATCTATGCTCACGGAGTATACATTTTCATGATTTACTTATTTCAATGGTAGGCAACACTATATGCAAACACTACTAAATGTGGGCTTTAATTGTTTAGTAAATTGTCGTTTCCGAATTAATAAAAAACTGAGATCATAACTTAAGTTATACGTATTTAGGAAATGCAATATAAGGTACTTACATCAAAACAAAAAGTAGGACTATAATAGAAAAATTATCAAAATACATTAGGTACTGTTTAATCAATTGTTTTCTATTTTTACTTAAAAGATAAAATAGTAATACATACGTTGTGGCGTGTAGATATTATTACATTTTCTCCTTTATCTATTTTATTCCTTTTCGGAATTATTTTTATATCAAAATGTGGATGTAAGATATGCAACTCGCATACAACTATGTACACAGTTACATCTATGTATACATTACGTCGTCTCATTCCATGAAATAAATCAACTTATTAAACGAAAGGTAGACCACCCAAATAGCATAATAGCTACAGCCATAATCTAATTTTAAGCACCCTTGAAATTAATAGTGCATGGAGGGTAAATTATTCATTTTTCTTTTATAATCGTGCAGATACAAAAAAAATTCATCGTTCTTAAACAGAATTATAACATATTTATTAATTTTAATAGTTTTGAAACGGATGAAGTTTTTGCTTTTAAAATTATTTTATTTTTATACACCCTTCTAGAGACGTCGTTTTCGTTTTCATTTTAAGTAGAAATATTAAATAAAAAGCGGAAAATACTAAATACAATATAATACCGACTATAAATAACAACTATGTAGAATACATCCCCCTATACTCTAAACAGTCAAAATAGAGAGATTTCCCTAGAATAATATAGTTAGTTTAATGCATTCTTTTACTGAAATAATACCACTTGTTTATTTAATAAATTGGAATGAATACACTTAGAAATAAATATTTAAAAAATGCATCTACTCCAATATTGTGTACTTAATTAAAAGTGCACTTAATCATTATTATGTTAAATCTATCCAGACATCACCATCCTCACAAATTCTTCATAATTAACATTTCCTTGTGAATCTTCTTGTCCTTGTAATAATTGCTCCACCTGAAACAAAAACAATCATTATTAAACATTTAAATTTACACAATTTATAGCAGTTTTACTGACCTCATCATCTGTTAATTTCTCCCCTAAAGTAGTCAGAAGATGGCGAAGTTCTGCAGAACTGATGTAACCATTACCATCTTTATCAAAATGCCTTAATCCTTCAATGAAGTCATCAGCAGTATCTGCACTACGTGTTTTTGAAATTTGCTGAAGTAAATAATAAAATTAATAGACTAAATAACATTTATTTTCTACTAACTAACCTGATAAATAGGTAGAAAAACTTCAAATGAAACACGTTCATCGGGTTTGTGTTGATGGGTATATTTCTTTACATCAGATTCTGTGGGATTCTGGCCCAAAGCTCGTAAAGCATCACCAATTTGAGAGACATGTATTTTACCATCACCTCTGTTATCAAATAAATGGAAAGCCTCTTGGAACTCTGTAATTTAAAGAAATTATAAAATGAATTAATGAGAAACTGTAATTTAAGTCCTACAGAACTGCAGTACCTTCAAGAGTTGTTAAAGTTAATTTGCTTGGTTCAAATAAATACATGCTTACTTTACCAAACTTACTTTATACTGAACAGATGTGCAGTGATATAATTTTCATTGAAGATGTTGATATTTTATTGCCCTACTACGGTAGGTATAATTAACTTTCAAAGTAATACCATATATGGTATTCTTACCAAGTGAATCATAATGTAATCAGGACAATGGGCTCATTTTAACCAACAGGCAAAATCGTTAGACATTAAAAAGATACGAACAATTTTAAAACGACTAAGGAATTTTCTAATGCCATTTAATTGTTTATTATTAGCATTTGCCAAAAAATTGAATTATATTTCAAATAATTAAGGTGGGGCTTCATAACCTCATTTAGTTTTTTTTTTAACATACCTGCCATCTGGTCTTCGGTATAATTGGCCTGCAACAAACAACAATTTATTTAGTATTATTTTGTAATAACCACCGTAAAATATTTCCAGCAATAATTTAACCTACCATTTTGCGACTTTCACAAGACAATAACTGTATAAAATGTACAAATGTACAAACTATTTGAATAATCTTCAAGTGTATGACGTCACCCCGAGAAATGGGTAGATAAAAGAACCTGAAAACAATGAAAAAAGTTAAAAAAGTAAAACAGATAAGAAAGTTGTATTTTAAAGGAACTTTAATGACGAATTATATATCTAATTTAAATATGCATTATTAGCTATTGTAAAGACTAAATATATAATATATCACAAAAAACTTACGTATTTTACAGTAATATAAACATTTAAGTACCAGTATACAGTACTGAGCACAAATAATTACTATCCCCTCACGATTAGTAGCGCAATATCTGCGTAAGAAAAGTTGCCTAACAATTAGAATACAGTGACGTAATCTGCTTACTTTCGCTTTTTAAGGAGTTTCTTTGTTTTTAATAAGTGTTAGGCATCTACCTATACGTATATTTATTATAAATGTTTTCTTTCATATTTCATAAAAACAACTGGTTAGAAATAGGCCATTAGAAATACTACATTACTTTATAATTGGGGGTAATGTTTCGTAATCGAATTTTTCACGAAAGTGTAGTCTTTCCCTAACGGGATTAACATTACTTTAAAACAGTTTCATATGTATGACAAAGATACGCTTCGACTATTACAATTTAACAATAATTTGTCACGCCAGTTTTGAAACACACCTTGACTTCACTTCCTTGACAATGGTCACGTGTCATACTATTTCTAATAGTAAGTACCTTACATCTCAAGAAGAAAAGTTTCTTAAAACTTCAAAAGTATAATGAGTACTATACGTAGTGTTTTATTTTTCATTAGCTTATTACAATGTGCTTTGAAATGGCCTGTTGTATGTGATATCAGACTGATACAGGTAATTACATAACTTTAGAAGCCATTAAAAAACGTTTTGATTTTAAATTTAGACGTGGAAAAGATGTACTTTTGATACCATCAAAATAATTGATAATGTACTATTTTTTAATCGTGACTTCACGTGTTTCATTTGATATAGTTTAATTTTAAAAACTTTGGACTCTAAGTACTACATATGTCTGTTTTCTGTGTATAATACTTTTTTGTTTTGATAATGAGAAAACTGATTGATTACAAGCTTCTAAAAGGATAATCACAACTTTTTAAGTTTCTGTTTGCTATTGAAGTATGCATTTTAAAATATAACTTATTTGGTCAATATCAGTCCAGTAGAAGCTGAGATATAATAGCATTTTTGCATTTGGAGGATTATTTAGTTTCAATTTCTTGATTAATTTTCAAATTGGTACATTTTCAAAGTGCCTTAATATCTTTCGTTTTAGTAAAGTAATACATAGTTATGTTACCGTATTGAAACAACCCAGTGGCTTAATTAAGAAGTGATCTTTAGATCGATACGATTAATAAAATATAACTTAGAAATGCGACGTAGATTTCCACGAATTCTGAATTAGATAGTTAACATTAACAAAAAGAAACCACAAAAAATTACGGTATAGTTTCATTACAACCTAAAAATAAATGTGCGGAAATTTAATTAAGCGCAAAAACTACTCAGGTTTGTACATTCTTTTTCGGTAAATTGTTTTCTACCACACTAATTCTATCTACATAAATTATATAATAGGAACTTCTTTTCTATATTCAGAGTTTAAAAAACTTCAAGAACTCAAATAGGATCGGCTGTTTTTTAATGTTCTTTTAAATTTAATGTATTAGGTCCTTGAAGTCCAAAAAAAGAAAAGCTCGTAAAAAAGTTTTAAATTATTTGATTTTTTGGGTTTATACATCTATTTATTAACTTCACATAACCAAAGACGCTGTGTTTAATACAAGATTGGGCGCTATTTTTATTTTCAATTATTTTTATTATTCTTAATACTTTCTATCTTCGTATCTTCTAAAGAAGTCATAAAGTGGCGAAACAATTGTTAAGAACAGTAAAGTGTGGAAGTTGTCAATAATGTTTGATTTTATTTCTGCATTATTACCTTCCCTACAGATTCCATTAGGTGCTATTTTTATTTAATGATATAAAAATATCAATTACCTTGTCCAAAGCAAGAAAGAGCATGCGGTTTAAAAGTGCAGGGTATAGTAAAATTGGTTAGTTTTTCATGCCATCTAACTGTGAACCAAACCAAACTCCGAAAGGTTTGGAATCATTAATATTTATCGTGCATATACGAAACAAATAAATTTGATTTTTAAATTATATTTGAAGGGGTGTGTTCTTAAACATCAATACAATTGTCCAAATTTCCACTAAGTATTTGTGCAGATTTTATTGTACTCAAGGCAACAAACATATGCGAATCTTTCCATTCTAAATTTAATAAAAGCTTTAACTGTACACATCTCAACACTAATGTATTTATAGAATCTTTAATAAATATTAAAACAGATTCGTACATTTTGATAAATTCTGTCAATAAAAATGAATCTAGACAAATAAAAAAATCCGTTAATAACAAACAATAGTTTATACAAACTGCAGTTGTAAAATACAAAACGCAATTCGGACGCTCGTTCACAGTTAGGTACAAGTACAACGGAAAACCTCATATATAGGCCATGGGCTTCGACAGTTTGCCACCCTCGGCACGGGTGGCAATTCACACCCGGGTGGGAATACCGTACTTCTTCCCTTGGTGTTTAATACAATATTAGATGCCAATGAACAATAAAAATTCTGGTGCATCCTGTACAAATATTTATTTACAAAACATAAAATCCTATGACATTGCTAGTTACTTAATAGTGGATTAATATGCAATATTAATTTGAAATCATTTTTTCGATTTTTTATTTACCCACTACAAACTAAGTGGTAGAACATTGATGCGTAAAGCCAAAGATCCCGGGTTCGATTCCCGGCGGGTGTATGACAACAGCAACAATTTTTCCCTCATTAATTTGAGGTAGTTTGTAGTGGGTAAATCAAAATCGAAAAAATGATTTCAAGTTAATATTATATGATAGACATCGTTTCATAAATGCCTATTTTGTAATTTTAAACAATTTAAGATTCTGTCAGTTGATAAACAGTTACGTATTAGGTTTGAATTTGTCAGATATCGCTTTTATCGTTTAAGATAACCGATTGTGGAGATAAGGTATCTGATGTTTTAAAGTTGTTTGCTGTTAATTTAAAACGATCAGTAAAAAACAATTATTTTTTTATAGGTCTGCGTAATAAGCACGCCCAAACGTCTTTAACAAATGGAAGTCCGTTCTTTATAAAATGAGGTCACATGTCATTCATTATTGTCATTAGATATACTTATTGTCTGTGTTTAAACACTGTGACAAAACCGCTATATTCTTGTACGAATTTTTTATGGTCACGTTGTCGTCACAAATTACTCTAATTCTGACGTAACCATTGGGTGCATTTCATAATAAGCACTTATTCCTAACTATTAAAATAATCCTCATTCGAAAAAAAAAAGAAGAAGCGTTTCTATTAATTAAGAATAAAAACTTTTTAAGTAGTATGCATATGTAGAATAAAAAAGACAGAATAAAGTACTGCATTTTCCTGTACACTCTAATTTATTACACAATGTGACCGTCCGAAATTAACCAAACGACTAAACAGTATAGAAGAAAAAAAAAGATAAAAAACGTTTAAGAAGAGCCAATTTCATTCAAATACTCATACCAGTTCTCGCTATTGTTTAAAAACTACTAAAAACCAAACTAGGTGCTTCTAACTTTTTTATTTTTACGCAAATAACGGAAAAAATTGATTAATGTTGTCTTTCCCAAACGTATAATTTGATGGAACAAGAACGTCTAATAAATGTTGTCAGAAAATGCTTAACTTTTATAAGTACAGTAGAATCCGCTTATAACGACATCGAAGGGAAATGACAAACACGTCATACAAAGCATCATCATCATCATAAGGTCGTTAGTCCTAAGACTGTTTAACACGTACCTCCACTCTTTCCTATACTGAGCTAATCTTCGCATTTCCCTAAAACTAGAACAACCCACATCCTTAACTATTTGCGAACAGTAATTTAATCTAGGTCTACCTCTACCCCTCCTAACTCCTGTTTCTGCTTCTAATATGTCTCTGACTAGACCTTCATGCCTAAGAAGATGTCCTGCCAACCTATCTGGTCTATTTTTTATTGACTTCCATAGAGTCCTCTGTTCTCCTATTCTTTCCAATACCTCTTCATTTCTAACCTTTTCTACCCACGATATCCTCATCATCCGCCTATAACACCACATTTCGAACGCTTCTAACCTTTTCTTTTCCGCCGCTCCCACTGTCCATGTTTCGCACCCGTACAATGACGTGCTCCAAACATACACCTTTAACAACCTTTTTCGAATTTCTAGATTACCCATTCGCGAGCATAGAAGTGATTTCTTTTTATTAAAGGCGACACGACCCTGCGCTATCCTCTGCTTTATATCCCTACTACTCCTTCCATCCTGACTTATCTGACTTCCTAGGTGTCTAAAATCAGCCGCTTCTTCTAATTTTTCGTCTCCTATCTTTATATTCGCCCTTTCCCTACTTTTTCTTCCCTTGCATACCAGTATTTTAGTTTTACTTTTATTTATTTTCATACAGTACTAGTACTGTTTTGTCAATACTGCTTCCATTTTATTTAATGCTATGTCTAGGTCCTTTTTGCTAGACGCTAATACTGCTATATCATCTGCAAATCTAAGCATACTAATCTTTTGCCCTTACACATCTATTCCTACAGTTGTACTGCCTTTAATGATGTTGATGGTGTCTTCGATGTATAGATTAAAAAGTAGCGGTGACAGTGCATAGTCTTAGAAAATAAACAACCTTCTATTTTGGTTAGTTATTTAGTTTAATAGAGAGAAAAACTAGAAATTGTATACATTATTAACAGAAAAAGAAAAAGAACGATGAATTGCAATATCAATATACATAAGAAGGGTCAGAAAAATTAGCGAAATGTTATTATTAATCACTTGGGTCACTATAGCCGGATATGATTTCTTGAGAAGCAGTCTTAATAAACGATATGTCATTTTAAACAGAGTAATTATATCCGAACTTTTCTATAGAGAATTTAATATGAAAACCGTACTTAGCACTGCAATTACTTGATATTAAGCGGTTGGTCAATATAGGCGTAGTCATAATAAACGAATTCCACTGTATTGATTTGACTGAAATAGGGAATATTTTTATAGATACATTGCATTTTCTATTGAAGAAATATTTGTTGCATGTTTGTTAATAGCGTGTATGTATTTTACAGGGTGTAAATAGCAACATGGAAGAACTAAAACAAATTATATACATGTTTAACGAGGATTCTTCGAAAATTTGTTTTAACGTTCGGACAGCACAGTGGACCTATGCTACAAATATGACAGATCGTAATAAAAAAATAATGATCAACGAACAAACTCGAAAAGCAAATTACGACAAGTTATCGTGGAGAAAGGTTGTTAAATACGACTGGCAGCTCATGAATGACACCAATTTGAAGCGACAGATAAAATTTATAATAATCTCTAGTAGAGCGAGTTTAAGCGACGAAAAATACAATGAGGTAAGTCTGCTAAAAATATGAAAATTAAAATGTTTTACCAATACCTACAGCGAACACTAGCACACCGAGTCGCAAAACGTTTAAGCCAAACGCTCCATTTAATTTATTTAATTGTGAGAAATTATTTTATTCGTTCAGATATACTATTTAATATCAGAAATGAAAGATATTTACAATAAGATTCGCATTTGTCCATTCGACGATGGTTTCGACGAGAAGTGCACTCTGCAACTGGAACCTGATATAAAAAACATCATGATGCATTCTAGAAATCCAGACGAGCTTCTCCATGTTTGGAACGAATGGCATAACAAAGTTGGTCCACCGATGAAAAACAAGTTCATGAGATACGTACAATTGGCAAACCAAGCAGCAAGAATGACTGGTATTCACCTGTTATATTATCTTTCCGTCTGCTGCTTCATTATCAGTTTTAACTTTAACTTTTTAAAGTCAATAACCGATGAACGAAGAAGTTACTTGTTGAGCTTTTTAATTTTTGAATGAGTTGGAAAAAAACAAATAATTTATGTCGTTTTCTGGACAGAATGAAAATAACAAATTAGGTTTTCCGATTTCCATAAAAATTATTTATTGATGGTTATCTTGCTAAACATTGGCTTCGTTAAGAGAAAACTTAATTATTATAGGCATCTTTGGTAATTTTTTACATTAGTTGACATTGGAATTGAGACATGAAGTTTAGTGAGGTAGGTAGTACTCACCAAGTAAAGTAGTGTGGTTGTATTTGTTAGAATTTTGTTTATTATTTGTTTAAAAATCAATGTGACTGAGATACAGGCTCTTAAAGTTTTCTTAATCGGAGGAAATTCCGGTAGGTACGGCCCTGGCTTCAGCCTTCCGTCAGCTGTTCCCGCTGTCCTAAAAGATGTCCTCCTAACATTATTCCAATATATCAGGGCAGGGGCATTAAAGAATCTCGAGTCTGTCATAAATGTACCTAACTAAACAATGACGTTATCAATGCTGCAGCCAGGGCCGTACCAACCGGAATTTCCTCCATTTAAGAAAACTTTAGGAGCCTGTATCTCAAGTCATATTTGTTTCCGCATGGAATTAATACTACCACACGATTCTACTTGGTGAGTAGGTACTACCTACCTGACTAAACTTCATGTCTCAATTCCAATGTCAACTAATGTAAAAAATGACCGCATCTTTAAATATGTAGTCAAAGGGGGTGGCCGTAATTACTTAAGAGTTGATATACCATTGATATTTTTGACTTCTAATAAAAATATTTTTATTTCAAGATCTACTGGAAAAATTATTTCATATTCCTATTAAGTAAGTTAAAATCTAGACTATTGCACAATCAACAAAATTGGCCAACTTTGACGCCCCTTAGTGGAAAAAGTAGCCATCATGGATTCGAAAAGTGTCTCATAGAAGCACTGCTCTGAGACACCCCTTAATTCATTTTAGCAATTAGTTTAGAACACTATTCTCATTAGAAAGATTTTCCCTCTTTACATAAAAAATGAGACAACAATTTGAAAATTGTAGTGTAATCATAAAAAATTCACATCACGGAATCTTAGAATAGATAACTCCAAAAACGTAACTTCTGTAAATTATTAACAAATATATCAGATAAAAATTCACCCTTAATAAAGAATACAAAACAATGCAGGCTTTGCTGACGCCGGAGAACAAATGTATTCACTATACGAGACAGAAAACATTGAATATGAACTGGAAGACACTTGGAGGACAATACAACCACTTTACAAAGAACTTTTTACATATGTAAGAAAAAAAATCATAAGTAGATACGGACCTGATGTCGTTAGACCGGATGGACCAATTCCTGCTCATCTTTTCGGTAACATTTGGGCACAAGACTGGAGCAACTTGAAAGATTTAGTATTACCTTATATCCCCTCACGATTAGTAGCGCAATATCTGCGTAAGAAAAGTTGCCTAACAATTAGAATACAGTGACGTAATCTGCTTACTTTCGCTTTTTAAGGAGTTTCTTTGTTTTTAATAAGTGTTAGGCATCTACCTATACGTATATTTATTATAAATGTTTTCNTCACTATACGAGACAGAAAACATTGAATATGAACTGGAAGACACTTGGAGGACAATACAACCACTTTACAAAGAACTTTTTACATATGTAAGAAAAAAAATCATAAGTAGATACGGACCTGATGTCGTTAGACCGGATGGACCAATTCCTGCTCATCTTTTCGGTAACATTTGGGCACAAGACTGGAGCAACTTGAAAGATTTAGTATTACCTTATCCATTTGCCGAAAAGCTAGACATCACAGATAAAATGGTTCAAAGTGGATTCAATGCGTTAAGGTACGTGTGTTTATGAGTAAAATGCAATTCGTTAACTGCATAATAAAATGAATTAAGTAGTTAATATTTCATCATTTTACCAATCGTAAAACTTAAGATAATTATTCCCCCATAGTACAAGGGGTACAATAAATAAGGGTATATTCTAAAAATATGGTCTTATTTAGCGAAAAGCTTAATTTCTTTTAATCACTTAATTTAATTAACGCTATGAATGAAAAATGCATTATGTAATTTCGAAAAGTGTCTGGATAAATAAGTTCAATTAAGAGTTTTCATCAATTTTCTTTTTATCTAGACCCTTTATACGAATTAAAACACATTTCACTAGATACACACGAATAATAAACATTCCTAAACAGTAAACACATCGACAAAGATATCTAGAAGATTTGAAAATCATTAGTAACCACTTTCTTTAACGAAGTATTAATCCATAAAATTTCGTTGAAATAAAATTGTGTTTAGTGTTTCTAATTTCTCAAGCTTTGGACTTTTTCGGAATTCGACAATTATTATGATTCAAATTTACCTAATCAATTACATAGCACGTGTAGATACTGAAAAAATTTAAATCAAATTTAATTACGTTTATAACCAATATCAATTTTAAGAACGAGGCTATTTAGATTCAAAACTGGCTTTCACGTATTTTAATAAGCGGAAGTTTGGCGTGTATATTAAGTGTATTTTAAATGAAGATGAGTGCTATTACTTTGGCTAGGTTAAAAAAAATTATGGTGAGAATTAGTTTCTCTAATTTGTATACTTCTAATCCTATCCAATTATAAAATAACAATAATTATTTATTCGATTGCAAGTATAACACACGATTTACAATTCTTCAAGCCTTAAAACCTCCATGACTCCAAATCTCAACCCTCTATTAGTCGAAATAATCATTGAGTCCTGCAAGCCATTTTGGTACATATTTTCCCTCTATAACTCGAAAAACTAAATTGGATCTCTATATCTCGAACATAGCAATGTTTTATTTTACAACCTTTACAACTCGAATAATTTGAAACTTATTACGTCTAATTTATCGACTTTAAGGATTTGCCGACAATATAAGTGCACCAAATCTTAACCTTTACAAGTCGAAATAAAATCCGCCTAAGTCAAAATCCTCCATAAGTCGAAAACTCTATAACTGGCATTTTTGGCGTCTCCCTTGATGTTCGAGTTAAACAGGTTGTACTGTATAATATTTGCGGCGCCCTACCAACTACTCCTATAGTTCCGCGTTCCGCCTTGTTTATATCCACGCAGAACTTCCGCTTGTGTGCGAATATCTTCGTCCTAGTTTTAAAAAAAAGATAATACTCTCGCTTCAATTGTGAGACATTTTCATGATACTGATCAGCATACATATTCATAACCTTAATACCGTCCATCAAACGCTTCTCGTACTACTATTTATAAAAAAAACCTTGATCAAAGTAATGGTCTTATGGTCTTCCTGCATTTACATTTGCATGGTAGAATATTTCAGATCGCTGAGGAATTTTATACGTCTCTTGGATTAAAACCCATGCCCCCTGAATTTTGGAGATATTCAATGTTAGAACGACCAAAGAAGAAGACTGCACAATGTACAACAAGTGCATGGGATTTTTGCAATGGAATTGATTTTAGGTAGCGAAACGTATTATTTAATTCAAATTTTAAACACATTATGACATACAGTATGGTCCAAAAAATGTGCAATTAGCTTGTGAAATAAAACGATTCGAACTACAAAAAAATTTAATATATTTAAATATGATTTTCGATTTATGTTATCAACGAAATTTAAATTATATGTTAAGTGTTTATTCCAGTTACTAAAACGCTTCCAATCAAAAATAAAATGCTTTTCAGAACATCGTCTGTGCAAAAACTTAATGCGAGATTTGTTAATTATTTACTAAAACAATGGTTTATCTCTTTTCCAATCTTAGTAATACACTTCGTGACTAATTTTTTATTCCGTAAGCAAATTTGTTTATTTTTGACGTACTTAAGATGGCTCTATAATTATTAGCTGGATTATTTTTCTTTAATATTCATTTTTGACAACGTATTTTCTATTTGCATTATGAATTATGAATTCTCTCCCATTTGCGACTCAATATATTTCTATTTCATCATTATCATGGGGTCGTCAGTCCTAAGACTGGTTGGACACGCACCTCCACTCTTTCCTATCCTGAGCTAACCTTTGCATTTTCTTAAAACTAGAATATCCCACATCTTTGTGAAAATTAATCTAATCTAGATGTACCTCTACTCCACTTAACTTCTAATTCTGCTTCTAATATGTCTATCCTTTAAGCCTGAGAAGATGTCTCTCGCCTAAACGTGTCTCGCCTATTCCTTATAGATTTTCATGGCGCATTTCTGCTTATATAGTTATTATTAAGTAAAAATGGAAAAAATATTGAATCCTTAATATCAATATTTAACGGTCTGATGAAAAAAATTAATGCGAAAAATCAATGCCAAACTGGGGTAAAAGTGGTTTATTCTTAGAAATCAACAAGCGGCGTTTTGCTATTACTTACAGGATTGTGTTAGTTAGAACCAAAATAACAGGACTGTAACTAAGCTTGTTACCAAGACTCTAACGTTATTTGATGGTTTTCTAAAAATGAAGAGTCTTTTACCTCAATTTGAATTTAATTTCGCCCTTAATAAGGCTGTCAGAAAGCCCAGTAACTAAATGCGAAATGTTGATTGTTGATTTTTTAAGATTAAACAGTCATTCGTCTCAATTTGGCTTTGATTTCGTCCTTAGGTACAGGGCTTAGTTACAGCTTTATAACTAAGAGTTAAATATCGTTATCGGTTATTGGTTTTCCAACAATAAACAATTTTTCACCCCAATTTGATTTCGATTGTTCACATCCGCAGAACAAGCGGACGAAAAGAAAACAAACACTTCAAAAATTTAAAAATTCTTCAACGACTTTTAAACGTGGATGAATCTTTTGAGTTGCAAATTGAATAAAATCCGTTGTAGATAAAAAAAGTCGTGTTCAAAAATAAATATAAATAAAAATAAGTTTGTTTTCTGTATATTTTTAACATTATGAATTATCCTGAGCGATCTTCAAAAAAATAATCAAGATAAATAATTGTCAAAAGCAAACAAACCCCACCCTATTTTTGATCTAAATGCTTTTAATAATTTGGACCGTTTCTATTTCGAAAGCAAATTGCCTAATTTATGGGCCACAGTGTACATTACATAATTAACTGTTGCAGAATAAAGCAATGCACGGAAATAAACACTGAAAGCTTTGTTTCTGCTCATCATGAAATGGCTCATATACAGTATTATTTGCATTACGTCAATCAACCATACTTATTTAGAGACGGTGCTAATCCTGGTAAGTTTCAAGTATAATAAATTTACGTATAAATTACACAGGTCTGCGAAATTTTTTTTTTGAAAAGTTTTTTTCTTAAATTGTTAATATTTGTCGTAATTGTCTTAAAAGTAATAGAAAACGATATTCATATGGTGTATACCACGTCACATTAACCCATAAATGCTCAGAGAACACATTTCCATTTGAACCCTTGCCACGTAATGAGTGCGACGAAAAAATATTAGATAACCAGTGTTTCTATGTTTTTAACGATGCTCTTTTCGATGGTGTTGGTTAAAAATACCTCCGACAATATTAAAGCATGGAAAGATCGAAAATAAACAAAAAAAAAACGTGATTTTTGAATTGACTTTTTTCTTAAAAAGTTTTTTTTGTGTCCTCACGATATTTTTATATGCTTAAAACCTATATAGATCACGACCTCGATATCTAAACATGAAATAATCACCGTTGGTCAAGTCGAAATGCCTTTACAAACTGTTTGATCAAACCAAGTTTAATGTAAAGTGGTGGAAGCAATACTTTTTCGGGATCATTCAAACTCGTATTAATTGACATTTTTCACTCCGAGTTCCAATTGCATTCTAATTTGGACATAGAAATGCCGAATAACAATGATTTTGATTTACCGTAAGTCCACTGTCTTAACACTTCAATACATAACCGGCATATTTTATCCTAACCCAGTGTTCATCTTTGTGACACAACTTCGTTTTGAAGTAAGCTTAATAAGCATTTTTTACAAAGTTTGTTATATTCAATCTTTGCTTAACCATTGTATATTGTCTGCAAATGTAAAAAAATACATTTGATTTGTTTTAACAACTCCGAGAAGCCATAGTTAAAGATAAATGAAACACAATCTTTTATTACACGTTAATATTCTCTCTCAATAATGACGCGTTATAAACTATTTTTTTTTTCAGGCGGTGTAAACGACTATAGTTACTTTCAGACTATCTAAAATAAAGTAAAATACAATATAATGGTCAGACAGAGAGTATTAAATACAAATATAAACTANTTATCAACGCATTGTATCTTTGCATTGCACGTTTCATTTCATACTGTTAAACAAAACAAAGTTTATATTTACAAAATATGGACCAACATTTACATGCTTAAGATAAATTTATACAAAAAACTTTTTTATCGCAGACCTGTGTTATTATTTAAACACCCCTAACATTATTTAAGTTATTTTATTTTAAATTTAAGTTACGGAATACTTAGTTCTTCATAATTAAAGAAGTAATTTATCCAAACTCGACTCAGTTAAACATAGCACTTTATTATTAACCACCAACGTTGCGCCCTTCGATTTATGACTTCCTCAAGGTTTGCATATTCGTAATTTGGCACCTATTTTTACCGACTCTCTATCACATGATGTTAAAATCTATTAATTTGTTCAGTCATAAAATCTTTTGATTTTCTGGTTCTAAAAGGGAAACCCACCCCCGTCAGTACGCCACTGGTACAAAGAAACAAATTTACGTATAAATCTGATTTATGTGTATGTGTATATGTAATTCATAAAATCTGATTTTTTTATCTACTTTTTGATTTTAATATGATTAATTACTTGGTAATAAAAGTAATAATTAAAATTCGCGTTTAAAATACAATAAGTAAAATTTAATACGATAAAAAAAGGTAACGTTCCACTAAAATAGGTAATGTTAAGTTGTACTAGTGTTCAGCAAAGCAATGCTGATATAGTTTCGGTTTTGGTCTTGGTCTTCTTTGTTAAGTCTTAGTCTTACTCATTTAATCATAAACTTACGTTTTTTTTTAAATAATTCTTCTAAGCACAAATTTTTCTATTTTCTAAATGCCGAAATTTTTGGTCATACTTGCGTGGCTTTTAAAGAAAATTGTGTCGATAGTTGTGACAGTTACGAAAACTCAAGAACTTACCCTTCCTTCAATATATGAATTGACCCATCCTGCAACGGATAAATTGACCTTTTAGTTAACAAAATAGTAAGAGGTTCTTGAAAGAAGTAAAAAATATCTCTATATTTCATTTATGTGTTATCCAGACATAGGGACAATGAACGCTTACTCCGAAGGCATTCTTGTAGATCCCTTTTTTTAAACAATGGTATGGTTTCTTTTTTTTATGTTTAGTGTTAAAATCTAGTAAAGCAAACCGAAAATTTCAAATACTAAAAATGTTTTGCTCCGAGAAAAGAATATAGTAAAGTTGCTTCAAATAGTTTAACTCATAAATCCACCTGAAGTAATAATTTTTCGTTTAGTCTTGGTCTTGTTCGTTCGGTCTTGGTCTTGTTCATCACTAAACTTCACTAATCCATTGTTTAACTTTTATTTATTAATTACTAGCTAACGATAAACCAAAATACCAAAACTGCTACAGTCAATATAATTTTTAACAGCTTTTGCGTTTATTCATACAAAAATGCCTATTATTATTTTATATCATTAAGGTTTTCACGAAGGAATCGCAAATGCTATTGGTCTTTCTATATTCAACCCCTCCCATTTTCGTCGCATTGGATGGTATAAAAATGGAACCGACAATTATGAAACAAATATAAACTTTTTAATGATAAAAGCTTTGGAAAAGCTCTCGTATGCACCGTTTGCTTATTTGGTTGATAAGGTAAATTTTTAATACCTTTTATGAATGCTATTGCACTTGCGTTATTTTCTTGTAAATATGTATTATCATTTAATTACGATCTTTTTAAAAAAAAATTAGATAAGTACAATAGAATGAATTTATTTTCGGAAAATTTATTTATAGGTATATTCTTACCATCAGGGCAAACAAATTTCTTAAAGTACCAACTCTTTTTAACTACATTAGTCACAAATTCCGTTTACATTGGATGTCTAAAATAATAGGCTGTATTCCTTTTCTTTTTTAATATAAATTGCGCATGCGCATTTTCAAAAATCATGCATTCTTGTTCCACACTGCTAATTTTTGAAAAATGCCCATTTGAGAGTCCCTGTAAACTCACACCATATTATTTTACTAATGAAATTGTACCAACAAAGTACACGTACCTATATAAAAAAATTATAACCCTTTTTAGTGGAGGTGTCAAATTTTTAGAGAAGGTGTGGAAAATATGAACTCAGCCTGGTGGGATTTGAGGTTGAGATATCAAGGAGTCATACCTCCATCCCCTAGAACAGAACAGCATTTAGATGCAGTTGCAAAAAGACATATCCCCGCCGACATGCCTTACATGAGATACTATGTGGCACTTTTATTAGAATTTCAAATATTCGAATCGCTATGTTCGGCAGCAAAGCACAGGGGACAATTGCATTCGTGTGATATTTATAGATCGACAAGTGCAGGTCAGATACTAGAGTAAGTGTTTTTTATGAGATATCTGTATATAGTCCAGTTTATTTTATCATTTCGATTTTTATCCTTCTGCATTAACTATGAATCAAACTATACCGACAATTTTCAATTGTACTATAGCACTGTACATTGTACATATCATTTTGTTAAAGAAGTGTCTATAGGCAACCCATATTACTTTCTTGATTTAAAATTCTTTCAGATTTAGATTTAGATTTCAAATATTCATATGTTTAATATTAAAAGATAAAATACATGATAATCAGTAAAAAGTCACAGCAGATTATCTTAAAAAGGCATAATACCCTTCTTTATTTCTCTTTTTTTAGTAATTTCCAGAAAATTTTCCGCAAAATGAAAAACAATAAATCAGTTTTACTCAAAAAAAAAAACAAATGTGCCATAGAAACCTTTGCTTAAGGGCTGAACTTTTTGATAAATATTAAAAAAGTAATGCAAGATACTCTATAATATTCAAAACAATTTAAAACATTAATTTTTATTTTTGCTTTCTTATTCATTGTTTTACTTAATTATAACTTATATATTTAATGTTTGTCTCCTTATGTTTCGTTTTATACTTCAGAGATGCTCTTCAATTAGGGAAATCCAAACACTGGAAAGATGTCCTTAAAATTTTAACCCAAGGAAAGACGGATCGATTATCGTCCCATTCAATACTGAAATATTTTGAACCTTTGCATGCATGGTTAAAAATTCAAAATGTGAAAGAGCCTTTGATTGGGTGGAATTCGTCTTTAGAAGACACATATTTG